TATTTTTTTCCCCATTAACCAAATCAATTTAAAGAAGATAAATTTGCACTTTCCTTTTGATTTCTTAACACTAATTACAATTTCCATTATCTCCCAACCTCGTGTTTAAAATATCAAACCTTGTATTTGAGCATAATAATATTCAATTATGTGTTATTAAGTTTAAAAATCAAGCATAAACTAACTAATCTTTGCTTCTTTGGCATCCATCTTTTGCTCTGCAATCTTTAACCATATATGTACTCTAGTGAAAATGAGCACCAGTATTGCAAATCCAAGTCCGATCAAGACAATAGTCAAAACCGATAATCCTTTGGGCTTCATAAGTGGCAAAGGGTACCATAGAGATCCTTATTCCCTTCGAAAGAGTTGGCATTGAATCTCGAAAAATTACTGCATATGTTCCCTAAAGAAGCCAAAATGGGACTAGAAAGCTTACTGAATGAAACATCAAAAGCATATAGGTGTATAGGAGACACAATTGCTAAGGAATTTACCTAGAAAGCAAATTGTCATGAAGATTTATGACATTTAGTAAGCGCACAATGCAATTTACGGAGGGATCTCTCGGTCAAGTCGATTGAAGGAGAGATTCAAAATTGCTAGATTGATCAAGTGTTGCAAATCTTGGGGGGGTAGGTCTGGAGATTAAGTTGGAGGAGAGGTCAAGGGATTGAAGACTGGTATAATTTGAGAGAAAAGGAGAAATGGTACCCTGATGAAAGACACTAGTGAGAGAGCTTGTAGATGCATCCATATCTGCAGGTGGCACGGGGGTAAATAGGAGGTGAATCTGTTGTAGGTGTTAGGAAGTTAGATTTGGTCCAGTTTTGAAGATTCTTGGCATTAAGGTCCCCGTTATTTTTTTTTTTTTGGTTAAGTCCACGTTAACAAACTTTGATAAATTGGAAAAATATGCAATAAGCCCTTCAAATAATTTTCACGCACAATTTTTTTAGTAATTTCTATTATAATTGAGGTGCCTCATTTAGTTTACATATGAAATTTTATTCTCTTTTTAAATATAATAAATATAATGAGTTTTTTTTTTGTAAATAATTAAAATTTAAATAATAAAATAAACATATATATATGTAATTTATAATTAACAATAATTTAGAGTATCTACATTAGCATTTATTTAAGTGATATTAAAGGTGAATTTAATATTATAATTTTATTAAGAGCTTATTTAAAAGTAAGAATTATTGTTGTAACTATTATTATAAAAATAATTTAAGAAGGTTTATTTGCTTATTTTTCTATCTTAACAAAGTTAGTTAAGAAATTAAGCTTTAAATTAATACTAAAAAAATCAATAAATTAAAAATAATTTATTTTTAAAATGAAGGATTATTTAATAATTTAATCAAATAAAAAATAATTTAGATAATACAAGCATTATCTCAATTTAACAATGTTGTTTTATATTCAAATATAGATTAAATTATAAACCATTGAACAAGAGATAATTTTTAATATCAAGAAACTTATTCGTTATTTAATAGTACAATATAATCTAATTTGAATTACATTATATATATTTTTTCAAATATACTTCCCACCAAAAAGTTTGATAAATTTTTAAATAAAAAGTGATAAAATGTTGAGAGGTTCACCCTCAAACTTTAATAAAATTGTTAACTTCATCCTCATTCATGGTTGTTTCGCATTTTTCCCTCCTACGTTTCGCAACAAGACGAATAACCCCGGAGAGGACGGTGACGGTCTCGTGACATACGGAACCTTAAACCCTCACAAAACCTTACCCTCTTCTCTTCTCTTCGCTCTCAGAAACACAAACAATTGCATTCAATTCTTCCTGTAAGAGATGATTCTAAGTGGGGTTCACTTAGCACAGAGGCGGCTCTTCCCGTCGCTTTCTCGCCGGAGGCAACCCTTTGCTACAGCCACAAGAATGGTCTCAACTACCAGCAACAACAAAGAGAAGAAAGAGAAGGTGATAGTGATATCTGGGCCTACAGGGGCTGGTAAGAGCAGGCTTGCTTTGGAGCTTGCCAAGCGTCTTAATGGTGAAATCATAAATGCAGACTCTGTCCAGGTTAGTCTTTATCTTTGGGTGTTGTTTTTTGGGTAATCGATTGATGATTCTTTGTGTTCTGATGATCAATTGTAGCAGAATACAAGAAATTGTATCTGGGCTCCTGAGTTTTCATGCAAATAGAATTTTGAATTACAAAGAGAGAATTTTCATTTCCTAAAGTTGGTTCAGTGTACAGGAATAAAAGAAATCATATCTGGGTTCCTGAGTTTTCATGCAAATAGAATTTTGAATTACAAAGAGAGAATTTTCATTTCCTAAAGTTGGTTCAGTGTACAGGAATAAAAG